TTGGTGTAGGAACAGGGGCTACGGTAGTTTAAGTCATGAGTAGGCCAAGTTCTCAGATACCAATGTTACTGCAAAGATTTAAAGGTTTATTCACTAAAGGGTGAAGAGTTTGGAGAAGGCAGGAGAAGAGAACAATCTAGGACAACATAACTGAACTGGAAAGTGAGCTGAATTGGAGAACTTTTTCAAATCAGCTATGTTGGCCTAGATTGTTCACCTCTCCTGCCTTCTCCAAACTCTTCACCCTTTTGTGAATAACCCTGTTAGTTTGGTTCAGGAGGTGTTATCAGCATAACCCATTAAGAGTTGTCCATCTGTAACTAAGCACACAATGGTTTTGTTGATCTGTGCACAATGTAGGGGACAAACTTTAATGCGACATTAACTTGCCACACATATTGTGATACCTATGAAAAGAGGAAATTGATCTAATCAACCCTTTTTGTACTTTTATACCCATTAGGACATTTTTGTGTGGGCTTGGAATTTCATCACAGACACAATACAAGCATGAATGTGGCATATTTGGGATGAGGTGTTATCTTTATGTTCAAAACTTACATAGATTATTTTTAGACACGCTACCAACTATTTGGCCATAGTTACCCATAAATGGTGCAATTATTGATGTAATGTCAAAATAATGAGATCCTTTAGTGGTAGTTACTCTACATGGTCACCTGGTGTTGTTGTTATTATAAGGCTGAAAGCCTGTCCTTTAGAACTGCTGGAAACTATTGCATATTGAAATGGTTGGTCAGAAGCATGACATTTATACAAAAAAAGCAGAACATTTTTTTGTGTCTATAAGTGTTACAGAAGTTACTGGAAATTTTCTGGCAAATATATTTCCCACATATATTTTTTGCTTTGTTTGTAAACTAAATAGCTATTGTGTTCCTTTGATGTTATAAAGGGACAGCAGTTACATGTTGATATTTATTTTGCAAATATCACATGTTATATAAAGAGGAACTATTTCTTGTTTAAAACCACACTTTGCATTTAGTGTGTCACCTCAGAGATCAGCATTGCACCAAAAAAGACACAAAAGCCAAGAATGGTGATGATCTGCAAACACCAAGAACCTATAGCTACCATTCAGAAACAATTTTTCCAGTGATCTGGCAACAGACAACTGACACTTGGCACACCTTCAGTTCTTTTTGCGATGCTTTTGGAGTTACTCTTTATGTCTTATCAACATAACTGCATTGCTGTAGTTGATAATTATTGCAGGTTGGTAGCCACTTCTAACAAAGGCCTACATGCTTTTGTTATACCGGTAAATTATGATGCCCCATCCTGTGTTGATGGAGCTACATTTACCAGATATAATTTTTGTGAAACTCAATCAATATTACTCAACAAAGATATTGATAATGTCACATGATCCAGCTAAAATGTACTGACCAATCTGACAGTAACAGCCAAAATTGTTCTGCCTCATTGCTGGCAACAAACATGCTTACATCATTGAAAGAATGAAAAGTTTAAGTGAATTATTTTAAAAGAGTGGAAGAATTGTATTGGAAATCAATCGAAAAGAATGATAAATTAAACAAAATGTGTCAATTCTAGATTAAACTCTAAATCTGGTATATACAAAAATGTACTACTAAATGAAGTCAAAATATAGAAGGAGCAAAATTGCATCCTACCCTTAACCATATGATAAGATATAAGACAACTGAGATAAAGGGGTCTCCCATCCCCCAATTTTCATTAGTTTCCTTTTCTTCCCTTTTTCTTTACTATGTTACTGATATGTCTTCAAATTCAATACTTAAGTGTTGTGTATAATAGAATGCATGCTGTACCATATGCTAGCTGTTATATCATACCGTTGGATCATCAAGAAACCCCCTATCATCTTTAACTCCAATTATTATTGGGATATATTCTCCCATATTATTCTGTAAGGTGCGCATATACTAACCTTTTGTAACTACTACATTGTATTGTTATAAAATATAAAAAATTGTAACAAAAACACAATATAGTAACTGTAAATGAAGACAACTGGAAACAAATGCATTACTAAATATTGAAACTTTATTAAAATCAGCAACAGGACAGAAAAGTCACTTGTGGGATCTGCATTATGTCCATTTGTAAAGCATATTATAACCCCATTGTTTATAGCTGAGACATTTGTTTGTGCTAAAAGAACTTTAACATTTATTGGTATGCACACAAAGAATATGCAGGATATTGTGCTATTATAGTATGCTTTCCAAAACGATATGTAATATTTCAAGTGATATATTATATTGAGAAGCTAATTTT